TCGAGCTGTAACTTGCGTTGAACACCGTTTGGTTTTTCGATTATTTCAATGTTTGCTAAAGTGCTGTCTTGAAATTCAAGGCAAGAGATGAAGTCATCAATAAGTGCAACTACAAAATTTTCGTCCCAATACGCGGGGGGTTGTTGTTTCCCCACCGGGTGGCGCAAAATATAATCAATCAAAACCATTTTGCTGCCGGAAAGGTGTTTTATATCAAAATCAAATGGGAGGAGACGGTCAATCCATCTAGTTAGACGACTTTGATATGTTTTATTACTTTTATTGCTGTTTAGAGCACTAACCAAAGCTTGGTGGTCAGTAATCAAGGTAAAGCGGCGGCCAGACAGATAGTATTTAAAGTGATCAATGGCCCATACCGCAGCTAGAAGTTCGAACTCGTTTACTGAATATTTAGTTTCGCACGTATTCAAATCTGGAGGCATATGCCACCGTAGCTCATCCATATGGAGTTTCTTGTTCCAGCGCTGCTCCAATACCATCGCGGCTTGCGTCACACACTATTCTGGTCTCTCGATTACTTACAAAATGTCGGTTTTCTGTGATGTTTTGGACCGCTGTAAGGATGGTTTAAAATGCCTTATCATGTTTTTGTTCCCAAACGTAATGGAATTTTGAGAAAGATGATAAAAGTGGTCTCAACGGTGCACACAATGGAGCCAAATTTGGTATAAATTTATTTAAATGATGAACTGATCCCATAAAACTTTTTAATTGTTTGAACGTTGTAGGGTGGTGGAGTTTAGTGATTGCGTCAGTTTTCTTGTGCATCGTTATGGTTCCGTATTCATTTATGACAAAACCACGCCATTCGACTTCTTTACAGCCGAATTTACACTTATTAACCGAAATAGCCATATTTTCTTGATCTAACTTGTCTAAGACCTCTTTCAATTTATCCATATGTTGTTCTTTTGTTCCGTGGGATATAATATTGACACATCTTGACGACATCTTGAGAAAAGCGAAATCAAGACGACATCTTGAGAAAAGCGAAATCAAGATGTCGTCAAGATGTCGTCTGCGGCTTTTCAGAACAGTTGAACAGACTAAAAAAAACTGATTTAAAATATTTTTTTTTTGAAAAAAATGCTTTTCATACAATTTTCATATATGGAAATTGTATGACTGACATTTTTGATGGCGACACAATTTTTGATGGCAACACAGTAATTTGGAAAATTTGCCCCATTTTTTTTCAACCGCAAATCGAATTTTGTACGCAAACAAACATTTTTCGAAAAAAGTTTTTTTTTGCATGCAAAATTAAATTTTTTGTGTAAATAACGTAGTCCTGGATACCATAATAATATTGGATTTTTTTTTCTTTTCGCTTGATTTTTTTTTTCAAAAACGCTGAAAATTCCTATTTCTTTTTAATGGCGTGTTTACGTATGCCTTGATCAATGTCTGATAATTTGAAAATTCAAACATTTAAAATAATCATCACTGAAAAATTTTGCCATAAATTAAAAGTTTGTTACTTTTGTTATATCATTTGTGAAAGACACCTGGAAAACAATTCAGTTCGTTCTATATGCATTGTTAATGTGAAGCCGTCCAACCTTTGGTGATTTGAGTATCGAAGGTCATTGTCACTTGTGTTCGGTTGCAAACACTACCCAAAATTTTTCAGAAAATAAATTTAAAAACAAAAAACAACGGTTTGGTTTATGGAGAAAACACCTATTATACATTTTCCATTTAAGGGAAAATGTTTATTATAGAGTTTTCATACACTTTTCTGTACGTATGGAGTTGTATGAAAAGAAATTTCCCGTTTATGAGAATTGTATGATAAGCATTTTTGGTCAACCCGGGGAGTTTGGCCTTCAATATTAAACATGTTGTTTCCTCCTATGAAGAGAAGAAAAAAATAAAAGCTGTCTAGGGTACCCGGCTGGATAAGGGCGGGAAGTACATCCTGCACTTTCTCACCAGGCAGGGCAAAAGTTGGCCACGGCTCCATCTTCCGATGGACGGCCACAAATGTCGACATTATGACAGAGGAACCAGCCTTGACGATGGCAATAGCAGCTTTCACTGACGCTCCTCCATACTCAACAACAGCAACAGCAACAGCAGAGACTAAACAAAAGAAAAAAATATTACAGAAACAATGAAACTAAATTATGTGAACGGAAACGAAAGTAAGGGTAGCAGAGAAATGATTATATTACTATGGCGGTCAAAATATGACGGATATTTTTTATTGGCCCCCCCTGCAATTAATATAACACATACAAATTACACACGCACATACCCGCACACGCTTTAGGACAGACTCACATTAAACAGACTTACCCGCATTTACGAAAAGTGAAAAGAAATCAATTAAACTGGATTTTTTTTTCTACAATATTATCAATATAATCGATCCCCTTGCTGCACTCAGACAACAAAATGGAATAAATCGATCCTTTATTTTTGTTGCGTCGTGCCAAATTTTGCAAGATTTACTGCATTTAACAAATGAGTAATGTTGAATTTACGGCCTATGTAGGGCGTACTCGATTTCTAAATTTAAACTTTCTCAAATTCCAAAAAGATTCCCTTGACTTCTCCCCCTAACGTTTGTGCATTTGCACCCTTACAAACCCACCCCACCATTTACCCCATTACCCCTCCACATGAACCAACTCCACCTGAACCATCCCCCAACCTGAGCCACCCAGCCCCTGACCTGAACCACATCCTCTCCCCCACTTGAAACAACCCCCGCGCCGCCTGAACCATCTCCCCAGCTGTTCCACCCTCACCTGAGAGCCACATGAAGTACCCATTATCCCAGCCATACACACAAACAACCTGAACCAACCTCCCTCACCCTCCGGGTTTGGTCTGGAATCTGATCCTGAAAACACACACACCAAATCACATACACAGCAAACAAAACACACACGGCACACACGCATTTGAACACCCCCCTTCTCACATGAACCAAACCCCCACCCTCGTGCGAACCCAGACAAACCCGGGTGGGGAGGGTGTTGACTCAGGTTGTGTGTGTGGAGGGATATTGGGTACTTCAGGTGGTGGTGGTTCAGTTGGGGGGATGGTGCAGGTGGGGGAAGGGTGTGGTTCAGGCCAGGGGTTGGGTGGCTCCGGGGAGGGGGTTGGTTCACGGCGTATGCGTATCATTTCTGCACAGAAAATACGCGAAAACTTGGCTAGATAGTCTAGATACAATTTCTCTATAGAAACACAGACTCCGATGGGTGCGGGGGGGGGGGGGGTTGTGTGTGTATATGTGTGTGTGTGCTGTGTAAGGTTGTCTAACTGTGTTAGTGTTGCGAACACATACACAATACATATATACAATCACACAACCACGCCAAAACACATAAAAACTCGCGCACATTAGACACAGCACACACCCAGCTCAAATTAACAGACGCACACGTCTCAATACACACACACACCCACCCACACACACACACACAACTCAACACACACACACAACTCAACACACACACACACACACACACACACACACACAACTCAACACACACACACACACACACACACACACACACACAACTCAACACACACACACAACTCAACAAACACACACACACACACACACACACACACACACACACACACACACACACACATACACACACACACACACAACACACACACACACAAACGAATCTGAAAATGAAACAAATATTTTTAAAAAACTTTTAATACAACTGAACATCGAGGGATAGACCGATCCACCTTACTGGGTATATACCTCACTGGGTACGCTAAGACACTGATATCACGTGTGACTTCTCTTCTCCTCATAGTAACTCTTCGTTTACACTCAAAACATTCGATTGATCCCATTCGTTTTCGAAAATCAAAGTGTTTGGCTGGGACAACTGTGTCACATGCGCTTCTTTTCGTCTTTTTATTTCTCTTCGTTCACAGTCAATCAATTTTATTGGGCGGATCTAGGATTTTATCCAGAGGGGATGGGATGTCAATAATATCCTTTTGGCCACGTTTTGGAGAGTTTTAAAACTTTGACCAAAAACATGCGTTTTTTCGGCACTCGCTTTCCTTGAAAAATTACTGTATATTGGCGGTAAAGACGACTTCAGAAAACCTTTAGGGATGCCCGGGTCGAGGTCCGCGACTTAATGAAAGACCGGCGCGACTCAAAATTGGCAAATCCAGACCGGCGCGAATTTAAATTGGCAATTCCAGACCGGCGTGACTTTATATTCGCAATTCCAGACCGGCGCGACCGAAACTTGGCAGTTGAAGACCGGCGTGACTAAAAAAAAATTACCGCAACCGGCGCGACTCAAAACATCGTCGAAACCAGCTCGACCTAAGGTGGCGCGATCGGCGCGACTGAAAATTTTTAATTCCAGATCGGCGCAACTGAGAACAAACCTCCGCGACATGCGCGACTGAGCAAAATACCAAAACACAAAAATGTACATTCAAACAAAAAATCGCCAGATAATTGATTATTAACGGGGAAACTTCGGTGGGGAGAACTCGATGTTTTTTGTTGAGACTTATTTGTATGAAAATACGGTTAGCCATTTCATCTACTGTTCGATTGAATAGTTCCGTCTCAGATGAACATCAAGTGTTGTTTTATTGGGCCCAAAATTGGTGATCCATATTCTGTCAAAGTTTTTCAACGGTTCGAATTTCTTCGCAAGGGAGAAATTCGACAGGCAATGCTTTACAATTATTCGACGTTTTTTAGAGTTGAAACGCCCTTTTCATATCCGTGCTCAATCATTATTGAGGTGATAGCTTCATGACAGCTCCTGGGAGTTGCCAGTCTAAGCATTTGATTGTTGTGCATTAACCCTCTAAATTCACTGCTCTCTTGTCATATTTTTAACCAGAAAAACTGGATAAAATTACGACTATTAAGCCTATTTGTAAGATTCTTAATCTAACATCTTCTTGAGCTCATTTTGAGTTTGGGGCCGTAAATTGTTGAGGCTTTTTAGTGTGCATTTCAGTCGACGGAGTATGTTCCTTCTGTGCCACTGTCCCTCATCCACATCATCCTGGAGAAGAACAGAGTAGTGTTCGAAATGGGTCCCCCCGAGAGACCCCAGAGGAGCATCTTCTTCGTACCAAAAGAGGAGGCCTCGTTGCATGATGCGGATCAAGTGTGTCAACATGCTGCCAAGACCAACTTCTTCCTCAACGGTCCAGATCGCGACATACGACATGCTGAGATTCAAGACGAAGAAGAGAAGCAGTTGCTCTTAAAGCAACTTCAAGGTTTCCCATCTTTACTGTTTTGAGTTATGACCTTTATGGCCTGTACTCATGGAATGATTTCAGATAAAGTGCACAGTCTGTTCGTCACACTATCTTATTTTCGGCCGGATAGATTCGTGCAACTTCTTAGTCTTATACCAATCTTAATATTACTCTTATATATCCTAGTCTCAATAGATCTAGTTTATACTGGTTTTTGCGAGTTAGTTCTTGGAGTTTATCCAGAATGAGAACAACTGTATTCAAAGGTTTATTCAAATTGTTTTGGTGCTGAACGTACAAGTCGTATCAGCACTTACAAATAAGTGTCAATGTTAGAGATGGAATATGATTGGTAAGTTAGTATTATTTTATAGTGATCGTTTTATCAATAATATAATTGGTTTATAAATACTAGTTCAGAACTGGTTCCACCCATCCGGCGTTTAGAGAATTTTTAGTTTTTTAATTGTTTATTATAACGAAGGACGAGTGATGTAGCTTTCTTTAGAAGTTGTGAGAAGTGACTTCTTGGAAAGGGGAGAGTTGTAGTTGTTCGTGTGTATGGAAGAAGATTGTTTTGTTCGTGTTTCAAGATGAGTCTCGTTGATAGTGGGTAGTCTTGGGTGATTGTGTCAAGACTTCTGATCGATGCAATGATGTATCAATTTCATTAAGTTTAGAGAGAGACTACGTGCAGGGTGAAGTTTCTCGTTGATGTGAAGTGCCAAGTTACTAGGATCGGTATGTGAGATCATTATCGAGATGGCCAATGTTCTGGTTCAATGGGTTTCCTATGCTGCGATGTTGAGCTCATACTTAAAATCTTTTGAGGGTAGTGACTTTTGCAGCAAACCAAATAAATTTGCCATTCCAGAGTTGGAATGGAGTCGGAGTGTCATCTCCTTTGCTGCTCGTTCCTTGGGCTCTAAGAAATGTTTACGTACTAGCATATATATATAATTACTTCTTGTTAGTTAAGTTTTAGTTGTGACTTATTTTTAATTGTTATCGCAAAAGCGTTTTCATTTTAGTTTGGGTATTTTCAAAGAGTCGCTCAATTTAGAGCAACTCTCAGCAAAAGTAGAGTGTGGGTCACAAAGCGTGGTTGTAGCGCGGTGGGTGGATTAGGCCGGCTATAGAGCATGCGCAGGACGTCCCTCCGGTTGGTGAGGCCAGGAGTGGGCTTTATTTTATGGTTTCCTTTTGAAGAGTCTCTTTATACGTCCAACCTTTTGTTACACTACGTGTTTAACTCTTTTTTTGTTTTCGTTGTGTCCTTTTATCAACAGTACAATCGTTTTTTTTGGGTTTGTCTTTCGTTTTTTGTGTTTTTTTTTGGTTTTAACAAAAAAAACACAAGAGTGGCTTTCAAAACAACTTTTTATCCAGTTTTAACCTGGGTTGAATCCGGTTTGGGTTCCGTGGGACTTTCTTTCTTTGTCATGCTATTAGTTTGTGTTTTTGTGGCGTTAGTAAGCTGCGTTGGTTAGTTCAGTTTATTATATAAATCCTTCTAACCGGGTCAAAGGAAAGTTTAAAACGTGTAAAAACAAGTAAGATTTGCTATCAGTGAAACTTAAAATTTGAAGTTCACTGTTTAACAACTCTTCGTGGGCGAGCTGAGTGATTGTGGAAAGAGTGTGTGATTTATGGGCGAGTGAAGGATTCAATTTTGTTAAAAAAAACGTCATGTAAAAAGATTAGTTTTCTTTAATTTATTGCAATTTTGTGTGAATTTACTAAATGAAAAAATTAATTTACTGCTATGGTGATTTAAATTTATAAATTTACTGCTTGGAATGAAAAAGTTTAATTACTTCAGTTATTTACTCCAATTGTTAACTTGAATTTGAAAAGTTTATAGAATAGAGCTTACAACTTTTTACTTGTTTTTATTTGATTTAGATGACTGAAAGATGATTTTTAAAAAAAATGAGACATGTATAATGAATGCTTAGTAGTCTTTGAAATTTTCTAGTTTAATATCTTCATTATACTTACAAAGGGTCGTCATCGGCAAAGAATCCATTCGGAAAATTAGTGCGAATTGTTTCGGATGATGTGAGGAGTTTGGCAAGCATGTCGTATTTAGTTTAAAGTACACGCCATAGAAGCTCGAGTGCTCGGATGATTTTTTGCTCGTCACATATGAGTGAGAATTCATGCGGTGTGTTTTGAACTAGGTTTTATTGCTTGTGGTTGTATTTAGTATTACGAATTTATTCTAAAATTTGGACTTCGATGAACTGTTTATATTCGCGGGGGACAATCAATGGACGAGATTCTTCAACATGAAAACAATCGGTTAGTGTGCAGAAAATACACATTTGTCTTATGGGGTCATAGTTTTGGATGATGCCTTGCATTTTAGTATTTTTTATACAATAGGTGAAGTTCAGGAAGAATGGTGAGGTTTATTTGGACTTAGAAAAGGTGAATCTGTGTTATGGGTTTTGTGATGTTGTTTTAGTTATATAGTGGTGTTGAATAAACTCATAATAAGGGTATGTTGTGTGGATTTGCTTAGTGCGTAACATTTTTTCAAGCAAAGCAGTGCAAGTCACCTTCTTTTGATGTGAGGAAATTAAAAGTCAGTGAAAAGTGATTAAATTTGTTAAAATAAGAATCCTTAGGTTTTTTTGTCTCGGAGTGCTGTAGAAACAATATTATCAAATCTTTTTATTCATGCTGTTAATGACAAATAAATATTGTGATTTAATGAAAAAACGTTCGGTTAGTTGGGTAGTATTTTTTCGTCTTCTCCTAAGATTGTATCTTCCAGATATCGTGCAAAACCGTGATCATAGTGGTTAATTGAGAATCGGTGTGCTTTCTGCGTAACCAACCTGTTTCTTGATTGCGTTAGTCCTATGGTTGTGTAATGTTTTCACGCAGTTTTGTGGTTAGGTGTTGTAATCGAGGTTGACATATTTCATTGTCACGTGGGTTATTGTATAAGGGAAGTGCTAATGGGTGAGTGGAATGGTAGTATGATATCCATAAGAGTGTGGGAACCAGACTATATTCGTCAACGTAAGTTTGTTGGTCGTTGTTAGTGGTCCGATAGTAAGTATATTGTGGAAAGAATGCTAAGCTATTTTGTAAAACTTCTTGAGTGTTTTTGGGGAGCGGGTGAAGGGAAATAGTCGAGGTGTTCGGGGGTAGTGGAGTGTTTGGGTATTGGGATGCTTTCGTTTGAAAACTCGGTGGGCTCGGGTTTCCTCTAACGTTGTGGCTGGGTTGGAGGATACGGAGGAGGAAATGGATTGTGATAAGCGAAGAATTTTTAATGTGTAAGGGTTTTGAAGCTGTTCTTGTTAGGTGATGAAAATAACAAGCTCGTTTTCTAGTTCTTCAATGACGGAGCTAGGGGGATCGGGTTGGTCACTTGTCATTGAGGAGAGAATTGGGGTTGCGTCGGTGTAGGAAGAAGGAGCAGGGGAAAGTTCATCAGGAGTTGGAGTGGGGTGGACGGAATGGCGGTTGCGAAAAAGTGGACGGGCTGGGAACGGAGTTCTGAAATTCATCTTGGGTGTCAATTTTGGAATTATTAAATTGTGAGATGGTATGAAAAACTGTGTTTGTAGAATCATCATCAAAACTTGAGAGTGATTTTCAAAAAAAATATATTTTATCCAGTTTTAATCTGGGTTGAATCCGGTTTGGGTTTCGTGGGATTTTTTTCCCTTTTCATGCTATTAGTTTGTGTTTTTGTGGCGTTAGTAAGCTGCGTTGGTTAGTTCAGCTTATTACATAAATCCTTCCAATTTTGAAACGTGTGAAAATAAATTAGAGTTGCTATCAATGAAATTTAAAACTTGAAGTTCATTATTTAACAACTCTTCGTGGGCGAGCTAAGCGATTGTGGAAAGAGTGTGTGATCTATGGGCGAATGAGGGATTCAAATTTGTTTAAAAAATGTCTTTTAAAAAGGATAGTTTTCTTTATTTCATTGCAAGTTTTTGTGAATTTACTAAATAGAAATAATAATTTACTGCTATGGTGAATTAAACTTAAGCTTGGAAAGAAAAAGTTTAATTACTTCAGTTATATACTCCAAATGTTAAATTGAATTTGAAAAGTTTATAGAACAGAGTTTACAACTTTTTACTTAATTTCATATGATTTAGATGACTGAATGATGAATTCTAAAAAATAATAAGACATATATAATGAATGGTTAGTAGTCTTTGAAATTTTCTAGTTTAATTTCTCAATTATACTTACAAAGGGTCGTCATCGGCAAAAAATCCATTCGGAAAATTAGTGCGAATTGTTTGGGATGATGCGGGGAGTTTGGCAAGCGTGAGGAAGTCGTATTTAGTTTAGAGGAGAGGCCATTCGAGCTCCTTTTCCCCATCTGAACATTTTACCCAACCTGACCATCTGAACCACTCTCTCCCCCACTTGAACCAACCCCCCCCCCCCAATCCACTTGAACCATCCCCCCAAATGATTCACCCCGCCTGAAAGTTACATTGATTGCTTCACCCCAATGTTACAAGGTTTCACCCCAAGATTCCGTTAACTGCTTTCAACCCCCACCCCCAGCGTTTAACCCATTATCTCTCCACATGAATCACCCCCACTACAACCAACCCCCTCTCTTTCCACATCTGAACTTTTTACCCAACCTGACCATCTGAACCAATCTCTCCCCCACTTGAACCAAACCCCCCACTCCACTTGAACCATCCCCCCAAATGATTCACCCCGCCTGACAGCCACATGAGGTACCCATTATCCCCCACGCTCACACACAACCCGAAACAACGCCTCCCCCTTCGGGTTTGAACTGCGGTCTGATATTTTTTGCGGGTTGAATCCCGTTTGGGTTCCGTGGGACTTTCTTTTGTTTGTCATGCTATTAGTTTGTGTTTTTGTGGCGTTAGTAAGCTGCGTTGATTAGTTCAGCTTATCACATAAATCCTTCCAACCGGGTTAAAGAAAAGTTTGAAACGTGTGAAAACTAATTAGAGTTGCTATCAATGAAATTCAAAACTTGAAGTTCATTATTT